ATCAAGCAGTTCAGATCAACTGAAAACAACCAGGGGATCTTGTTGGCAACAAGTTCCTGCCAACTAAAAAGAACCTAATCTGAACCGGTCTGCCTGTTAATCATTGTCTGTCTTTCATGAAAACTGAAATTGTGTGGGACGTCTATCATTGTTATTGCTGTCCCTGTATCGCACTGTTGTCACGAAAAGAGAGTTGAGCCGAAAGGCCGATCTTTGTTCCTACCCTCACATATGGTTATGAGAGATGGGTTGTGACCGAAAGAACAAGATCCCAGGTACAAGCGACCAAAATGGGTTTCCTCAGGAGGGTGGCCGGCGTCTCCCTTAGGGATAGGGTGAGAAGCTCGGACATCCGCGAGGGACTCAGAGTAGAGCCGCTTCTCCCTTGCGTCCAAAGGAGCCAGCTTAGATGGTTCGGGCAGCTGATGAGGATGCCTCCAGGGCACCTCCCGAGGAAGGTGTTCCTGGCATGTCCAGCTGGGAGGAAGCCACGGGGCAGACCGAGGACCAGGTGGAGAGACAATACTGGCCTGGGAACGCCTCAGGATCCCCCAGTCAGAGTTGGCCGATGTGGCCAGGGAATGGGAAGTTTGGGGTCCTCTGCTGAATTTGCTACCCCCGCGACCCGACCCCGGAGCGGATAAAGATGAATGACAAAACGTCTATCATTGTGTGCACACAAGCCATTTTGCACTTACACAAAAAAGTTTGAATTGTAGTACAACTGTCCTCGTTAATAGTCATTTAATTTGTCATTTCCCCCAACTAGGGGATACTTCTTTCAGTTCTAAGATCACAGTGTCTTGTATGAAAGCAATAACAATACAACATAATACTCTGGTATAATTGTAGTAAAAGTATTAAATAACATCCAGATTAAAATTAAAGGGTTGAACGATTTGTAGATTAACCAACTAAAGAACGTTTAAAGAACAATTAAGTCAATTATCAAGCACAAAACATTATTTGGTTAAATTTTTCCAGGAAAAGCAAAGAAATGAGAAGGGACACTGAGATAAACTGACAGCAAGGAATTTGTGAATATGCCTTTTTCTGTCTAGTAGACAAATCGGGTGCTAAAATAACCCTCTGAATTGCTGAAAGCTAATGTATTTAGCTAGCTGCAGGCATTCTGTTAGCGTTTCTGCCCTTGGTTGGATACTGTGACGTCAACTGTTTTCCCCTCTGGTGGGCGTGGTGTGACACACTGCACTGTGTCTCTGTATGAATCTCTCACTAGAGGCCTGGTTTATATGGTCTGGTTATTTGTTGCATATTGTTTCATATATTATTTCTCTATCACTCCACTGTGCACTTGTGTTATTGACCGTTTTGCTTATGATGTGATATGAAAGATCTCAGTAGTCAGTAGCTCTACTGTAACCATCTCCTTAAATTTTAGCACACAGTAAATGTTTAGCATCCTCCTTTGACAAAATGCCCCCAAGTGTGGCTGGTTGCCAAGGAAGTAAGAAACAGAGCGGAGCTGGTTGCAAGATATGAATGGATCTGTTTCTTTTCAGGGGTCAAGGAGTGACGACTTTCTGTGAAAATGTTACTGGTCCTCAAGGCATAAGTCTAAAACATGGACCCATGTGCTCTCCTTGAGAAGGTAATAAACCTCTGTCTCACAAAGAGACTATAAATAAAGTGAGAGCTCAGCTTGCTGTAGGGATAAATTAAATACATCCCTTGTTAATAGTTCCGTCTCAAAGGTTTGGCTGAAGGAAAAGGCCACAAAGAAACGCTCTACTATGAGTTTACAAACAATGCTTTCTCTGTTTTATCGTATAAGGCTCCGTGCAGCCAGGGGGCTCATCCCCTGTGTTTGTGTTCACCTCTCCAGCTTCTAGTGAGTTTCCAATAATCCAGACAAAGACGTGATGCTCTGTGTTCCAGCAGCATTACACGAGATGCAGCAGCAGACGTTTGAATTAATTAGCTGCACGACTGATAGTGCTTCTTCACACGTGAGGGCCCTGATAAGCAGCCTAATTCCTTTGATAAATGTTCTGGCGATAGTTTACTATTCAACATTATGATTAAAGAAGCATAAAATCAGCCTTCAGTTCAGTGCATTAACCTTCCCTACTCTGTGTGCTTTGCTTGTAATATCAGATTCACATCATCATCAACAGTGACAAAATGTAAGTTGAAGTAGTGTTTAAATGTTTTGCTCCAAGAAGAGCTGAAGCATTGATTATTATGTACTGTCAGTTAATAATTGGCAGCACTGTGGCAATATATTCAACAGCCCAAAATGATTTTATGAGTATTAATTACAGCCTAAACAGCTGCAATTATTGTGATGGTGGCAGCAAAGAATACACACAACTTATCCAATGATGTTGTGAGACTTGCAACAAATATGTCATTATGACCAAAATAAACATTTCAAATGAACACAAATGATATGTGGTGGTTTGGAAACAGACATAGTTTCCATTATCCTGAAAGGCAACACAGTCACAGACAAAATTAGCTTTTACATTTTTCTGTAACATTAAACATTTGTGAAGCTTTGAATATTGTTTGGAGTAAACATAATCTTTTTTCCCAAATCCACTGGACTGACTGTATTTCTGTATGGAGAAAAAAAACAATACATTTTTGTTTTCATCAGACTTTTTTCCTGATTTTTTGCTGAAAACATTGATCTGATTTAATTTTTAAGCGTTAAGCCAAAACTTTCAAAAACAACTGGATCAGTAGACTTCCCTAGCCCCTTCAAACATCTCTGTTTTTATTTTAATCTGTTTTAGGCTTTTTTGCTGAAACAAGTATTATCTATGAAAGAAAATAGCCTGAAGTCATCAGAAAAGGAAGCATACACTTTAGAAGAAAGAATGATGGACTTTGAGAAGATCCACCTTAAAGAGATCAACCAGACCAGCCCTCCACGGTAGGTGCTATAGTCGACCTCAGGAGGAGAGGAAGAGATAGGAGCCATACTGGTCCATCTCACACTTGGAGGACCAGTGTGTCTATTTGACAACATGGTTGTACCATCTCTGAAGTGTGTAGGAGAAACAACGGTCTCTGCAAAACTCACAAAAAAACGCCCTATCTACTGCTACTACACTCTTTGGTTTGTCCATTCTGGGCTACTGAAACATGATGAACTCCATGGAAGCAATCTGTAGCTTAAAATGGCTCATTCCAATATTTAGGCAATTACACACTGATGAAAACATAGCTATGAAAATGATATTCCATTTCTGGAACACTTTTAAGGCTGGCTAATATCTGTTCTATATGAAAAGAGATCCAGGTTGGCCAAACAAGGAGGAAAGAGACAGTTGTGCCCACATCTTTACAGAGACATGCTCCGTCAACATCCCAGATCAAGCACTGATCGGGTGTTCTAAACCCGCAGAGCGCCGGACAAGAGGCTGTGTTTACATCGAGGATGCCTGGTGCTCGAACGCAGTCAAAGTGGATGGACACTATTTCTTTTAATGGGAAAATGCAACCATAATATCATCACTGTCTTGTTTCTGCTGTTTCAATTCCCCCAGACGCAAATTAAAGAAATGCACAGCAAAAATATTTTGCATGTATATAAATTACCATATATATTATTTTTTACTATACATGTAATTTCAATAAATACATTTAAAACATTTGACAAATACATTGAACCATGAGGACTGAAACTAAATGTCCAAACATTAAATGATTGGTTTAGTTTATGCTTGGTTTAACCCTTTTTACTCCGAAATGTGATTAGATATTTTAATTTGACTTAATAAACCCACTGACTTTTACAATTTCTCAAGGACCTGTTCCAAGTTAAAGGATTGTACAGTAGAAGCAATCGTACAGTATAAGGTACAAACAGAAAAAAAAGAATTCAATGCTCATGTGGGATTTTTTTCCCCCTAAGAAATGTAAACATTTACTTGTACTTAACAAATGGCAAGCATATTCAGTAAAGCCACACATATAATGATACAATGAATATAGTGTTACAGTGCATTTTAAGAAGGTGCGTGATCTAAGTGTACCAAAAAACACTTCATCTGTCTGGATAAATCCTGGCAACAGAAAATTGATTTCCTAGCTAATTCTCCTTTGCTTCTTAAGCTTTTAATAAAGAAACTCAATAAAAACTTTGGATGATGGGGCCTTTTTTATCTTTTGCCCCTTGCTCTTTGCCATGTTCAGACACATGGAGCTAGAAGCTTGTGTAATTATTGGCAACGTAGAACCATCTACTACTACATGCATTATTATATCTGAATATTAGTAGGTGTTGTTCCACGCAGTTCTCTTATGTTCTGTTCTCTTTGCCTAACGCCAGTGAACCTCTTTGCATTTGGCCATTCAGCTCATTATATTCTTCCAAGGTTACTTAATTGAAGGTATCATATTGTGTATTAGCTTCTAGAAAGTTGGCCAACCAAAGTTCTTTTTGGGAATAAAGTTTGCTGTGATTTACTCAGGACAAATCTTTGCCCTTCATTGTGTTACACTGCTTTTGAAGGAAACCATATAATTTGGTGGATCATCATCCCACCATGTTTCCACCATTGCACTTCTGGCCATAACATTTTTTAAAAGTCAATCACCACAGCCTCTGGGCCCCTTGCAGTCCATTGACTACATGGTGCCATGATCAACTGATTCACTAAAATAAAGCCTATAAAAGCTTTTCATAGGCTTTTTTGGGGGCCTGGGAAGAGACTAACTCCCTTTCTACCCATCTCTATTAATATCAGGGTTTATATTAAATGCTTTCTAATTCAAAAAGAGCTGACCAAGGCTAGACATAGCTGGATAGTCAAATTTAATAGGTTTATTGGAACCCTTCAGCCTGAAAAAACATTTCCCCTAACTCAAGCTGTTCACCTTCTTTCGCCTGCAAACGTGACTGCATAACAATTGACAGTTGAATATAATTAACCTCTAAAAATCCTGAAAAATGGGTGGGGTTGGTAAACACACCATACATTTGGGTTTTCATATGGCTAGTTTTTAGTAAAACAGTGGTGTCAATTGTTTTCCTGGTGCTCAGAACAAATAATGTTTTATACTAGATGAGCAGAACTAAAGATTAAACGTTAGTTGGCCTTAAGCATTCTTCAGTTCGCAGACTACTGGCCAACCAGTTAAAAGACTCCTTTGTGAGCTGGAGGTGGTGACGTCAAATGGGCTCTATAAAGACATAAATTCATAGTTTAGCTGGAACAACACAGCAGTAGGAGGATGAGTCTCTGTGTCCTCCTCCATTTCTTAACTTGCATAACTAATGAGCCTTAAGCCCTGGATAAATTAAGCAGGGACTGGTGACTGCTCTCAGATTTGCACATGCTAGCTTGCTGTTCACAGTGTAGGCTAACAAGATAAAGGGATTATATACTGTTTGTAGATTATTTTGATCAATTACCGCTCAAATAACATGTTGGAGATGCTTGAATACAGCCACTATCAGGTGAGAGGGGTTCTTCTGTTTTTTTGTCTTCATCATTGTTCCAAAAGAACAAAATAGAGGTACTGAAATAATCTGAGGATGAACCTCATTTTAGATTTCTTTCTTGAGGTCAAAATAGTATTTATGTTGACAGGATGCACTGTGTCATTATCAAACCTAGACTGTTCTAACCATTAATGCTACAGGAACTAAGCACAAATTTACAAAAGCTAATGAATGTAAACTAGTTTTTAGGTTGCTGCATGAGTTTTTGAGGTGCTGCATGAACTTTTAACTTTCATCATTCATGTGACTCAAGGGCACTGCTCCGCTTGATTCCTCCTGTAGAGAGTTTTCTCGAGTAAATAAAATGGGTCAGTGGCAGGGTGACTGATGCTCAAAATAATCTGCACTGCATATTTGACATGGGTCCTTCATTTCCTGTGTAATTTCAATATTTCAGTTGTAATGTAAGGAGAAAGAGTTGTGTTTAAACACATTTCTGCAACTTAGCATAAACAAAATAAGTAATCCAAAGCAAACCTGCAATCAGCCTAGAAAAGTGTTTTCAGGTCCATTTATTGGCATAATCCAATTGAGATTAGTAATTTAACTCCAACACAGCAGTACAATTTGATTCCCTTTGGTTACCTTGTAAACAAAGATCATGATTTGCACTTAAAATAGAAGGATCAAACACTAAACTTAAAGGTTTTACTTATTAGAATTACACTGCCATAGCAAATTTCCTCCTGGGGATGAATAAAGCATCGGATTCAGATTCATCACATTCAGACAGCGTTTACAATCACAATACAAACTGCTAGTCTAAGTTTCCTTACAATATCATGGCTTGGCCTACTTCTAAAATCACTGTTTTTGGCCCTTTTTTATGAACTAGCCATTGTTTGTGACCTGTAATCCTTGTTCTCTAATCTACAATACAAAAAGCTTATATATATTGAAATATACTAGACTTGGTAAAAGATGAATCCACAGTCCCAGGTTCTAATGTTTTTACGTCTTGCTCATGCAGGTGCAATCCCACCTGGAGAATCCCACCAAGTACCACATCCAGCAGGCTCAGAGGCAGCAGGTGAGGCAGTATCTGTCCACTACCCTGGGTGGTAAAGCCGGCAGCCAGTGCCCCAGCCAGCCCCCCGAGCACGGCATGCCACCCGGACCCGGCAGCAGTGCCCCCAACAGTCCCATGGCCCTGCTCACCCTCAGCTCCAACTGTGAGAAAGAGGTACACATGCTCATTACCAAACAACTTTTAATCTCATCACATTTTGATACCCTGATAAACTGTAATTATTTAATCAAATGTGGTTTCATGTCATGCAGATGGATGATGTCATTGATGATATTATTAGCTTGGAGTCAAGTTACAATGAAGATGTTCTTGGACTTATGGACCCAGGACTTCAAATTAACAACCAGGTAATACCCCCTTCTTTAAAAGGATATACTACATATTGCATATATGACTGTAAAAGGATGCATTTGCACTCACTATATGTTTATAAAGAATTATTACTCTTGATACCTGTGTCTTTGAATTAAATTTATATGAAAGACAGTTGTGTGCATTTGAATGACATTTCTTTAATACTCTGTAGCTCCCTGTGTCTGGTAACCTCCTCGATGTGTACCACAACCCAGGACTTCCACTCCCTGGCCTTGGCATCAGCAACTCCTGTTCACCCAACATTAAGAGGGAATACACAGGTAAAATACACATTAAAACATCTTTTTCATAAATATCCCAGATTATCAGTGTTTATTCTTTTTACTGTTCATTCACTGTACTTAGGTATGGATTGAATGGCAACGTGAGTGCTGTAAATTCAAACTTGGAAATCATTTGACAGTCGATTTAGTACACTTTTCTGTGACTAATGACTCTTAGCAAGTTGTCTTGGCAAAATGAACTTTACTTCATCTTGTAGTCAAATCTGGTTAAAATACACACTGAGAAAATGTTGTAAGTTCTGTTTGCCTAATATCTGATATAGTATTTGTGCAATTATACTGCAAACTCTTGTTTATTATGACTTAATCCTAATCAAGGAGAAAATCAGCTCCCCTCCTTTAGTATGTAGGAGGTGAGAGCATGACTGTAGGTCAAATGTTAATATTGTGTGCAATTTGGAAATGCACAAGTTACTATTAAGTCAATTATTTGCCAAATAAATACTCTAGCTCCTGGCATGAAGCAAGTACTGGACAAGCCGGGATCCTGTGGCCAGTATGAAAGCTATCAAAGGCCAGAGGGCTTTCCAGTAGGTAAGCAAAGCAAAATAAAGTGAAAAAGATGATGTTTTGTAAACTATAAAAGCTGTTTTCAATCATATTTTCTGAAACTTTATATAAAACATTTTGTGTATGACTAAATCGCACACAATATGGATGTGATTATAGGTTTATTTCATACTGTAGTCCACAAAACATGTAAATTATTTCTTATACACAAATGTGCTAGCAGACAAAGTAATTTTTATTGATTTACTGTACAGTATGTGCAATACTAATGTGTAATTCTATTCATTTTATGGACTCAATGCCTTATTAACCATTTCTTTGAATTATGTCACTTTCTCAATGACACTCATGTTTCTCTTTGCTCCACAGAGGCTGAAGTTCGTGCTCTTGCTAAAGAGAGACAGAAGAAAGACAACCACAACTTAAGTGAGTTTATCAAAATAGATTTAGTTTTTCATTTTCAGTGTAGTTCTGTCTGAGAGACCAGGCATCTTAACAGGTTTAAGATGTATTTGACATTGTTATATAAAATGTATTTATTTGTTTACTTTACATTTTTGACTTTTCTTTCTATTGGCTTGGTATTTCTTTTCAGTTGTATTTATATTGTTCAGAATAATTGAACAAAAAAGGGAAAAGAACACTGTGATTTTATTTTTAATTTGTTAAGCAAAAATGTATATGTTTGTCAAATCTGAATCTATGTTCATTAATTATATGACCTGTTATTAAACCTTCAAACACTGGTTTACTAGGCTGCAGTACTTATTATATATTTTATTTGACAAACATTTTAGTTGAACGAAGACGGAGATTCAACATCAATGATCGCATCAAGGAGCTGGGAACCTTGATACCAAAGTCAAATGATCCGTAAGTGTTTTTGTGTGCATTTATGCTCATGAATGCATGTGCTAGATTTCTATCTGTCTCCGTCTGTCGGTCTGTCTGTCTGTCTGTCTGTCTGTCTGTCTATTCATTAACTTTGTCTCCTATTCACACGTCCAAGTGTCCTTAGTGTAATGGCTTATTTGCGCAGAGGGGTTGGTCTGGTGTTCTGGTCAGCTGGTCAGCTGACTCTGACTGTAGACCTTTGTCTCTTGTATACCCCAGAGACATGCGCTGGAATAAGGGCACCATTCTGAAAGCCTCAGTGGACTATATCAGGAGGCTACAGCGGGAGCAGCAGAGAGCCAAGGAGCTTGAGTGCAGACAGAGGAAGCTGGAGCACGCAAACCGCCATCTAATGCTTCGTATACAGGTAGGTCATTTGTCTTTGGTGGAACAAACCATCAAATAGTACAGTAAACTGAGCCCAGAAAGACAGTACTTCCCAAATACAGTATTTTATTCCTCTGTTCATCCACTGGAGGCCAACAGTAGCAGTTGCAGTGTTTGTTAGTTGTATATAGTTTCATTTCAAACATGAATGGTTCCCAGATAATGAATCCTAATAATTGACTCCTAACTCTGACTTTTTTTCTAGCGCTACCATGAGGTTGACATTTGTGGTTTTGAGTTAAAAATCTCAAAAACTATTGGACAGATTGACATGAACTTCATGTCCCCCACAAGATGAATTTTAATAACATTGACGAACCACTGACTCCCATCAGCCTCAGCTTAGCATTGTGTTTAGTGCTAATTAGCAATGTTAGTATGCTAAAACACTAATATGGTGAACAGGACAAATATTATACCTGCTAAATATTAACATGTTAGCATTGTCAAGGTGAGCATGTTAGCATGCTGACTTTGGAATTAGCTCAGAGGACTCACGGCATTCAGTTTATTCAATCACAGATGTGTTGTCTACATCACATTTCTGTTATTTGTCCAATCATCTAGGAGTTGGAGATCCAGGCCCGCGCTCATGGTATTACAGTGGTGTCATCCCCATCTGTCTGTACATCAGATTTGATAGCGCGAGCCATTAAACAGGAGCCTGTCCTCGGCGACTGCCCCTCAGATGTCTACCATAGCTCAACTCCTGACATGTCCCCTCCGACCACACTAGACCTCAACAACGGCACCATCACCTTCGACCAGATTCCTGCAGACGCTGGGGACCCTGGCCATTATGGAAACTCCAGGACCTGTAAAATGAAGGAATTGGTAAGGGACAACACCCTGTCGCCAATTTCCCCAAGTGATCCTCTGCTGTCCTCGATGTCCCCAGATGGCTCCAACAACATTAGCAGCCACCACAGTTCCTGCTCTAGTATGGAGGAGAAGGAGCAAGGCTGTTAGCATTGTCCAATGCCATGAGCCATACTGACACTTCGTATCTGTAGCATCCCAATGAGGCACCTCAACTTAAAGTGACTCCATATTTTTATTTTTACTTTTTGCCAATTTATTGCTGAACTCTAATGTTCAAATACTGTTTGTTAATTTAACTGAGATATTTCAGTCCCTCCACTGTACACAGCATTTTTACATTCTTCTAATCGTAATGCCGTATAGGACAGTTCAGAATCACTTGACATTATAGAGGGTGACTGACAAATATGACAATCTGCTGTTATTATAGCCTGGTCAACTTAATAACTTTACTATTTTTAGACTGTTTATTTTTGTCTTTATTTAAACTAGGGTTTCTCATATGTGTCCCAAATATACCATGCTCTGTATTGAACTGTACTGAGATATGTGAAAATGTTTTGGTCGGTTAAAATGTTAGTAAAGTGCAAAAGTTTACTGTAATGTTCAAACTTGCCAGGAAAAAAAAGATTCACTTCTTGTAGACAGAATATTAGACTGCTGACTCAGAGTCAATCTAACAGTGTTTAACTTCTGAAGGTTACATTGCAAGAAAATGCACAAAATATAAATTGGTATTTAAATATTAAAGGATCAAGAGGTGCATATTATTGCATATTAGTAATTGTTTCTAGACATATTTAACATGTATTATTACCCCAAGCTCTTGTATTCTGAGGAAAAAACAAACATTGTCAAGATGAGAAGTATTATTATTGTTATTATTATTAGCATCATTTATTTATTTTATTTTTTTATCCACTAAGAGCACAGACATCATAACTTAACTTAATTTGTACTTCATATATTATTTTTAATGCATAAAGACAGATAACACGTTTAAACTGTGGGTTAGGTTACTAAAAAAGAAAGAAAGAAAGGAAATATGGTCATGTTTTGGGTCTGCAGATGACAAAAGTCACCTGATACATTTACCTGGTCCAAAAACTGATTGACTGACTATTATTCCTGATACCTGACATGAAACATCTTAGTACTTTGTTTATAATAAATGTAAAAAAAATAAAACAGATAAATAAATGAACTCAAAAGTGGTTTACATGCTAACAAGGGCTTACAGCAGCCTTTGCCCAAAATGTATTAATTGCTTTGTAGGCACTGATCAACCAATTATTTCATCTTTGTCCTGCATAACTCAGAGCTGAGTAGACGTATACTGAGGGGGGTCTTCTTTTTTATGTCTGTACAGAACTGGCTAAAACTATATGAGACATTTTTGTTCATATCATTAAACTTCACTTTTAAACACTGTAAAATAATATTAAAATGTATTCTCAAAATATACATATTACACCCACATTTTTTCAAGACAAGGCATAATGTGCTCAGTGTTAATTCCAATTTTCATAATCTGACAGTGAAGGAAAAATGAAACGAATCATGATGGTTTTAGCTTCTTATTATTCAGCCTAAGAAAATGCAACACACACTTAAGTAATAGGGTTTAAATAACTTTCTTCATAGGTTTGTTTAATGGCCTTTCTCAGTGGTTAACACTGTCACCTTTTAGAGGAGTTAGCACTGTGATAGACTGGCAACCTGACTGGGGTGTATCTTTCAGTGCATGCTGGGACAGACTCCATACCACAGGAGAAGCAGGTACAGTGAATGGATGGATGATAGTAGAGTATGATCTCTACAGGGAGGTAAAGGTAATATCTTGAATATATATACGTATATACATATATTGAAGTCTTCCTTCTTTCTGATGCATGCAAATGTTTGTAATAGCATTAAAGAAATATATGATATGCCTGCAACTATAAAAAAACTATAAAAAACTTAATTCAACATTCAATACTAAAATATAAGGAGTTAGGTACTGTAGCTGCAGCAGAAAGGTGAGTCAATTCCAAGTAGATGTAGCAGGTCAAAGTAAAAAAACCTAAGCATTTGGCAGGTTTCCCCAATTAATTTCCCCAAGAGGGTAATTATAAGAAGGGATGATAGGGAATGGTTCACAAAGAGAAGTACTCCACTTGGAATGCAGATTGAGGCCCTAACTGTCTGAGTTGCTTGTAATAACTGTGGGAAAGAGCAATGATGGTTTATCAAAAGTAATAAAAAATTAATTATTTATTAATTAATAATTTGATTGACAATAAATGCTAGGCCAGGTGAAAAAAGTTACACTGTAGCTACCAGTGTCAACTATGTTACACATACAATTAAGCTAGCATTAAGGAGTATATAAATATATAATGTATACTGTAATATGTGTTCTAAAAATGGATGTAGGGCTTGATATAATTTTAAATGGCAAGTTATATAAAAATTCACCATATGTACAGCTGTAATGAATGGGAGACATAGCTCCCCATCATTTTAGGGATCGGTGAAAACAGCTAGAATTAAAATCAATTCAATCTTACAGCTATTATCATGTTTTTTTCAGGAGTTGCAGAGGGCTGTTTTTTGGCAGACAAGCTCTGATAAACCCAGTTTATTTGTTTATTATTTTTTATTAGTTTATTATTGTTCAAAAGCTAGAATAATATACATGCCATTGGAAATAAAGTTAATAAAAGTTTGTTACATATTTCAAAACAAAAATGTGTTAAACTGTTATCTAATTTGTTTTACGACATTTATAGACAATGCAGGCAGTATCTGGTGTCAATAAATGATTAAGAACAATAGCAGCGCCAATACGATTAGGCCTACCCAGCATTTAGCCTTTATTGCCGTATTGTGAAAATACAGTAGGTGCATGCTTTCAAGTTTTTTTCCCTAGTAATTTGAACAATGAAAAGCTACAATACATATACTTCCCTACAAAATGTAAACATTAAATTGAGCTCACAGGTCACAGTTGCTGCCTGAGGAGACGCTCAGCTCATTGCACCATTTTTCATAAGCTCTCTGCAGGATCTCACAAGATGTGTCATTCAAAATTTCTGCAATGAAAAAAAGGATAGCAAAAAGAACACGCTTTATTTTCCATATATTACATCTGAATGAGTCTGAATAACATAAAACAGACTCAGTAGACAGTACTTCTTTCATATTTAGGCAACTAAGAGTGCTAATTACTCAACACAGTGGTAAATCTGCAATAGTCTAATAAATTCCACTTGCGTTTGAAAAACACCAAACTTGGCTCGGATCAAAATCATTTTCTCAATTGCCTCTCAATTGGCTTTTGTGAGCTTGGCAAAACCAAACAAAGGCTCACCAGAGAACACAAGTCTGAACAGCAGACAAGAGTTTTTGTGGCTATGAGAAGAACATCATTACTTGCTACTGAGCATACTTTAAGCTGTGTTAATGTTGTTTTTAAGTACAGTCTCATTCTAGTGATTCTTACCTGCTTTCCCAAGACCAACAGGTAGAGGCATTCTGACCAGGCCTCCAGAATGCTTCAGCCTGTCCTGCAGAGACCTCTGTATTAGCTCCTTGGTACATGCCTCATGCCAGACAGGCAGCTCCAAGCCCACCATGCAACTGATGATCCTTTGCTTTTCTTCTTCTGTCAATAGGCCACTTTCTTTGGACACATAGACCATGTAAGACATATCAATGTTCACTGCCTCACCATGCAGAAGGGATGGGAGAACTTTCTGTATGAAAAAAGAAAAAAGTGAGATAATGTGAGGATGTGACTATTTGTCACCAAAATGGACAGAACATAACCACATAATATCTCACTTATGAACTAACATACAATACTGTTGTACTAGTGTACAATAGCATGTATCAACAAAGGATGATTTAAATAGTGATGTAAATAGTAAGAAGTGCTTAGCTATAGCTGCCATGAGGGATCATTTACCATCTCTAATGCTGGGCTGATAAGGTGGCCAAAGTCCACAAGTCTGTTTAGATTATCTTCCCAAAGGTTTGGGGCAAGCTCCTCCAGCATGGTTGTGATGGCTATACGTGTTGATTGAGATGCAGCCTGTAAGCAGCTGAGCCCATATACACTGTTATCAGCCTGGAATTTAGTGTCCAACAGCATACGGCCATGTTTCTCAAGAAGCTCAAAGAGGCCTCTGTGTTTCATCAAGGCCATCTGCAAAGAAAAATATGTATAAAACTTACATGAGAAACGCAAACATAAAAAAATACATCATCTCTCTGGGCCAATAAATGTAACAGGTTACTACTTCCCTTTGAAACTTCCCTTTGGTGACTCCTGAACAAGTCTATGTACTTTGAATAGCAGGCGTGAAACTGTTGTGCCTAACATACCACTGCTTTTCCAGAATAGCCAGTACTGTATGCAAGATTTGTCTCTCACATTAAATATTATGGGCCTTATAACATCCAGTGCAAGCAGCACTTTGTTTTATGACTGTATTTTGCTGTCCTAAAAAATTTGCTTTGCTCATCTGTGTGGTATTTTCACCACATGCACTGATTTATATTCACACAGCTCATTGTGCTGCTGCACATTTAAGAACCAAAATAGCAGGAGCACCTGGAGACGGCCAGAAAGTCTGTGCGCCCAAGACTCACCGCTCTGCACTTGTTTGATTAAAATCAGGACCTTTATATTCATAAAAATGTTTATACTGTTATGAAGCCATCATGGTATTATCTGGTGATCTCCAGTATGTATCAGCTTTAAGGTAAATTTCCCCTTTAATGTATAATACCTTTAACATCTCTGCCAGCCCATTAGCGATGTGTCGTCGAGGAATGGTTTGTATGAAGGACAGATCAAGGAAGACAGCGGTGGGTGGAATGTAGGCACCCAGCTTGTTCTTGCAGTTTGCAAAGTTAACCCCCGTCTTTGCCCCCACGCTGGCATCGATGTACGAGAGCAGTGTGGTCGGGACCCTGATGTAAGGGGTGCGTCGTCTGTAGAGTGAGGCAGCCAGGCCCACTATGTCCAGGCACACCCCTCCACCTATGGCAATAATGGGCTCTGTGCGGCGGTCAAGGGAGAAGCTGTTGACCTCTTCTAGGATCTTCAAGGCCATTTCCATGGATTTATTCTCCTCAGTGGTGGGTAGAGCCATGATCTTGTACAGGACATTGTTGGCCTCCAAATAGTGAGTTAGCCTGGGCCCATAGATTTTGTAGACTTCTTGGTCAATGACTACAAAGCGTTTGATTGAATTGTTCGATTTTTTAAAGTCATCCACCTGCTGCGGGTCGCTGAGGTGACCCAGCAGGAGTGTGTCATTGATCGGGTCCAGCAAGTCCTGAGTCTCAGTCACCTTGTAGGTAAAGACGATGGGGCTGACCACTGTCCAAGTGGCGCCCTTTTCTGTGATGCTCTCATAGCTGCCACACAAAACACATAAAGACATATTTAATATAATGGCAATTATAGATGTTGTTTTCAAGTGTTTTTTCTGTTTTTCTAAAACTAATCAATTCTAATACAACAGTACTCAACACACTAACATACTTTGCGTAAAAGATGTACAAACAATGACAGAAACATTGTTTCTAATTTCTGAAGACAAAACAGTGCCTTATGTATTTGGGATCAAAAAGGACTTTTGGAGTGAAACAACAGAACACAGGTAGCTAAATCAACACTCAAATCAACATATTGAATATAAAAACTTATACTGCATAAAAAAAACTTGGAATAAAGAATGAATTTAATAAATCTTTTAAAAGTGCCTGTCAAACTGCAGCCAAATAGAATTGTCCATTGATTTCAGCAACCTATCCTCCATTTTGGCCAAACCTCACCAAGTCGTAAAGATAAAAAAACAACATCTGATTTCAACAGGACTCTTGTCTCTTCAGCATCAGTTTCTCAAATGGTTTCTCTGTTAGACAGAGGCCCCATCTGCAGTTTCAAGGACCACATTTAGCTAGTGGATATCTTACCACCACTAAGAGATTAAACGTCTCCAAAACGCCTTGTCCCTGTTTTGGCTAGAAGCATAATAAACAAGTTATTATCAGACCACTCTCTTCCTGAGTGAGCAAACATGGGAAAAGACTACAACATTCCTCTCCAAAACTCACAGAATAAAAAAATGATCAGATTAACAATGCTCTGTGTGGTATTTCTCAACATTAAGGTCTGTGCTAATCACCTATCTGACCAATTAACTTTGTTATTAACTGAGGTCAAGACAGGGCTTTGCCTAATTTGTAATTTCCACTGTCACATGGAGAGGATAGAAATGAGGTGGTACTGCAATCCTAATGTCCACTTTTATTTAACTTAACCTTAAAAACAATCCCAAGCAATTAAACATTAGTTCAGATATACAAAAAAACACACAACCGTCAGGTCAAAGTCAAAGCTATTTCCTCTGTTTCACGTTAAACAGATTGCTGCCTTCCCCCAAGCCTGCTATGTGTCTTTAAACGCTCTCTAAAGGTGTTTGATTTATAGCAGCATTTTTTTTTTACGTCTATTATTTCCCTGAAGCCTAGCAGTTTTCCAGCAGTTGCTCAATTAGCAAAGTATAGGCTCATGAATAACTTCAGGCAAAATTCCAATCAAAATACTGGTTCTGGAATCCACAGAAGAATCTATTCTCACACCTCTTGATAGCTTGTTTATTAATGTGATGATTAATGATCATATTGTTCAGCAACATATCCCAAAAGTCTTAGCCACGCAGGAAAAAGACGCAAATTAGCCATAATCAGCCTTATATTTGCACAAATTAAAGTGTTAAACTTTTACTATCCAGTCAGTAGATTTACTGATTTTGCTCAAATACAGTAAGGACATAAATGCCCAGAATCATGTCTGAAAGTTTGACTTTTTGGTGAACAGCGTATTCAAGATGGTGCACCTGCTCAAAGTTGGTTGGGATTGTGCTCGCTGTGTCACTCACCAAATCAATTTATTTCTCACTCTCAGCTAAAAATCTCCCAGCCAAACCTGAAAAGGCCTAAGCCAAGAAGCAAAACATGTATGTGCATGTTGACCAGAAACCATGCCAAGAATGCCAGCACGCATCAAACAATCAGTGCCACCACAAATATCTGCTGCTCTGTTTGCTTCTCGACTCATTCATGCTTGGACCTCTGGCTGGTACCCGGGATCTTAGCAAGGATTCAGAGGGATAAACGGTCATTTTAGCATCTATTGTTAAAATTTTAAATTTAGATCTGTGCGTACTACTTTGGCACCAAAGCAAACAACTCAAACTGCACCAAAATTGACTTGTGACGATATATTTTGCTCTTCTACTCCTGCTAGCAGGAGACATAACCTACAGTTTAAGCCAGGTCCACACATGCCCTTAGCCTTTTGCAAAGTCAAAACAGCATTTTGACACTACTACTAGGGTTTGGCGACAGTAGGCTAACAGGTTCTGCCCATTGTTCCAAAACCGTATATGTCTTTATAATCTGGGCTTGAAAATGTTGGACAAAAGGCAAATAATGTATCATCATTGCAACATTTTAGGTAAATACAAGATTTCTGCAAACTTGGAACTTGCTACGTGATCACTTGAAATTTGCTGAAAACTTCATGACTTTTAATAGAAAGTTAAAGGTCCAGTGTGTAACATTTAGATCTACTCCCAGAAATATAATATAATATCTATAGGTTTGTTTTCATTGGTGTATATTCACCTGAAAATTAGAATAGTTTTTTTCACCTCAGTCTTATGCTTGGACTGGGAGGGTGACACAAGGGCGTTGCAAACAGCAAATACACTGCTAGATATCTAAATCCTACATAATGTTCTTTTAATTCAGCACAAATCTATATTCATGTTGACTTTTTAAATATACTATTTTAGAAACTATAGATTATAAACTGTATTTTGTTTACAATCTTGTTACCTCACTGTTTCAATCTTATTTTCATAAAAGCCCTTCTAGGGGCCGGTGTTTTATGTTAGCATCCGCTATAAATACTTGCATCAGTTGTCTATATACTTTATCTATCTCTATCAAACAAACCATACATAAATAATTAACCACTGACAACTTTGATCAGACATTGACAGCATGTGCTGTATTGTTTGTTCAAATGTTAAATTGCTTACTGCATGTATATCTCTTGCACTTGTGGAAACTATGTCAAGTGCAGAGCCTCTTTAGGTTACAGGTCAGGGGGGGATGGTTGGCATCACACTCCATGGGACATTGACACTGAAGACTGCAGTTCTAATCTTATCTCCCACCAGCAGCCAAACTTTAACCCCCCCCAAAAAAAAAACACCCTGCAGCATTCAAAGACTGAGAGAGGACTGTAAGTGATAAAAAAGAAAAGAAACTCATGGGCAAATTACAAAAAAGACTGTCAGAAAAAATAATAATGTAAAAAGATAATTTATGAAAATCCTTCCTTCCTTAATCACTTTAAAATTGTAATGCAAAATACTAAAATCTCTATTTGATATCATAAATGTATAGATGTATCATATGAAAAACATTTAAATCTAAACACCTCAATGAGAATGTAACATCCTTTTTGCCTAGTGATTTGGAGCCTTTGCCTCAGTTTTCTGCCATTCTGTCATTTACAATTTGAATTCAGAGCTTTTGTCTCTCATTTTTTCCTATATCAATCCAAACAAAACTGTTTTGCATACAGTAAATGTGGCTGGCTTATTTTTGTTTATGGAACACAGACAAGTAAATAAGTCAGGATTCAAAATGCCTGATGTTAGATGCAACCCGATTTTGTAAATGTCAGACTATGTGATCATGTGTCAGACATCATCAATATGGAACAGCATTTTTCAAAACTTAACAAATAAAATCTACTTAGAAGAGAGAAAGAAATAGAGGGAACAAATGCATGAGAAATCTAAACAAATATATAAAATAAATGCAAGCAAGAGATCGACTGAGTAAAGAACACTGTTATACTCACATTTTTGCAGCAGAGACACAGTCAACTGTGTCCTTGTTGACCTTTCCCAGTTTGCGCTTCCAGGTACCTTTGACCTGTACTAAGCTAAACTCAGTTTTCTTTTCTTTGATGTCGTTGTCCTCCAGCTGAACCTTTCCCATTTTAGCAGTTGTGGCTGTGAGGTACAGTAGAAGTGAAAGTGGAGCTAGTTACAGTTTGGATAATGAGAAGCCTACTCATCCAGTTTAAATACAGTACAGTAGGCTATAGTATTTGGGGATGCCCCTGAGACAAGGGAGGAGCATTTTCCGCTTCACATGTCATAACATGTGTTATTCACTTACACAAGTTTTTGTGTAACTGTGAGGTAACACCTGTTCTATGGAAAAATTGCATGCATCAATGCATTGTATAGCTATATGAATGCCAATCATTCAATGAAGATAAATGTGGGTATGGTTTAGAGAATGAATTTCTATTTCAAACTACATTTACATAGAGGAAATCTGAACTAGAAATGAATCAGTATTTGCAGAATAGCATTTGCATGCTGTTGCTGTTTGGTAAAAGTATTTCTGGTTTTGTATGAATGAAGATAAATAGCATAGTTGCAACCTTGACAGACTTTACAACAGGCGAAGATGTTTTTTTAAGCCCAAGGAATCATGGAGATTTTGCAACCCACAGTGGAATTAGAACACATGCATTTGTTGATAAAATATTGTGTTAATATTTAAATACAATTAATTTGGCTTATTCACATCATTTCATTTGCTTTGTGATATAGAGTGATGAAAGTTTGCAGAGGAAATTACATTTCTAGATTACAAGATTTGTCTCTTGGAAATTTGCAGGACAAACACAAGCAGCCAAAGATGACCGGTCACAATTTAAATACAGAAAATCTCCAGACTACTCAAAACTGAATTTATGGTTTAGTTTAAACTCAGTTGCTGTCTTGTAAAAATTACCTAAATGCCATACTGTATCTGAGGGTTAACTTGAACTTCTTCACTCATGGAAGAATGTTTTAATTAAAACTACCCTGAGGGGACTTCTTGAAAAAATCCAGTTGATATATGTACATTCTGTTCAGTCAGTGTTGCTCATCAGCCTGCAAGGTGTGGATCGTTGAGACCTTAAATAAAGTGCATTTCCTTGCTTTTAAAACAGTCAAATATGTAACGTACAATATTATTTCACAGCATGTCTTGCAAATTAAACAGTGAGTGGAACATAATATCTAAATAATACTTTGCTTGCAGAACATAACACGCGAATGCCATCACCTCATGTGATTTAGAAATTCATTTTCATTTGTTCCTTTTTTTCTCCTGTCTTCTTTGTCTCAGCCGCTCTCTTCAGTGCACTTCTTCTCTGAATCTCTGAAGGATCTTTTTGTGTTACATCCTGAGAGGGCAAAACATTTAAGAAAAGAACAAAAAGTAAATACAAATTTTATGACAAGTGAAGAAGAAATACAAAAACAATCTTAACAATACTGCACTACTTATGTAAACCCAGCAAACGCAGAGGAGCACTGTTCAGTTTGTTTATGGTCAACACAGGTCATCAACGAGGTAAGTGAAAACAGTCAAACTTTTATTCGTAAAACTTTTAACTGTATGAATAATATCCTTCTTGCTAACAAATCTGAGAATTTATCTCAATAGGGCTAAAATAGGGCATTAAGTCCATATTATCCATCATTTATTGTGCTTCAAACTTACACGTTTTTTTTCATAACTCTCTCTTTAAAGGACATCTTATCTCCACTGCATTCCCATGCTTTCCCCCCAGGGATCTCCAGTACTTGTAAAAATTTGTGAATATGGGGCCCACTTGTCTCCTATGATTAACAGGTTGAGGGTGTGGTACTGGCCTGAGGGCTCCATACGAAAACATAGAATTGTAATTATACAAAACAAAAGGACTAATTTTAAGCAACTCTAACGATAAAATTACTGTTAAACATCTGCATAACCCTAACTTGTAGTTGTAGAATAAAAGTATAAATTCAGCTTAACACACACAGACAAGCCATCACACCTCTGGGCAATTTAAAAAAATCAGTTCTAACCTGCATGTGAAACACCCTCCCAGCTGCCCTTCAAACTAGGATTATTCTTGCTATTAAGCAACTAACACCCTGAAACTCTGTATTTAACAAAATCCTTTTTTTGTGTTCAGTACTTTTAATTACTGTTGATATAACAAATATTGATATAGAGGTTGAATATTCCATTTCTGCCAGTAGATCCTCCCATATGTTACACACTGGACCTTTAAATTTAACATGATATAACCTCTTATATATCAATATATGGGGAGCATAGAGACGCTACAAGACAACAGTTATTACGATCTTAGGGAGGTTGGTTAGAAATCACTTTAAATTACAAAGTTTTAAGCTAGACGCAGCTGGTGCACCAGTGCTCAGTGCAAGCATGCAGCATGGCCTTCAATCAACTGTTACATAAAAATACAGATAAAAAGAGAAGCCACACATTAAAACCACTCCCTTTGACCCAGTATGGTGAGACTGGTAAGGAGAACAAGGCCACCAAATGTTTAATGCCATTGTCTATTTCTTATCATACCCAGTCTCTCCCCACCCACCACAAAATGTTCTAAAACATTCTATGTCTCCTGGTCAAACCTTAACTAATAATGTTTTTTTAAACTGATTAAATGTGTGTTATGTGAAAGGAGTTGGCTGCTGGGTTTTCCATCCTGCTGTTTTAAGCCAAAAAGCTCTGACTAACCGACTAAAAGCTACCTGCCCAGCATCAAACAGCAGAAAGGCAAAGTTAGCAACTCGCTGGTGAACATTAAGCAACGTAAGAGCCATATTTTTCACAGCAGTTCGTTCAAATTTGTCATACAGAAACATGACTTCACAAGTATACTGGATATGCAATTAAGCGACTGTTTGCTAACGTGTGACAAAATGTAGTTTACAGCTTGTCCTTCAGCTTTATAGTGACCAATAAATCAGTCAATCAATAGGTTATATTCTACTGATTGAACAGTTAGCCGCTCTTGAGGCCAATATTCAGATATCAAGCCCATGTCATGTGTACCAAAAGTCCGATCAAGTTCATCACTTATATTCATCACATTTAGTTTCAGTACGCTTTTTTAGTTAGTTAGTTGTAACACTGCAAAGGTAAGCAAATACGGTTTTGCTTGGTATTCATTTTATGTTTAAGCAGTAATTATTTTTTTAGGTTAAAATGAGTTAATTTGAGCCACAGTGTAATAATATTCAGTGAATTCAGTGCAGTGCAAACATGGGCCGTGAAGCCCACACCATATTGTAGAAATTTCTACACGTGTGTGTATGCCATTGTTATCTATATAACTAAATCTATATTGGCTTTCTTTAAGATGATCAATTTATTATTTGTTACAGTCCATGCCTCATAAACCTCATACTTTTTTCTCTGTGTGTGTACTTAAAATTCAACCAATTGTCATGAAGGAATGGTTTAACATTTTTTTCTTATTCACAGGATGATTCTGTGGAAAGGAGAGAAGCTGCTCTCCGTGGCTTAATGGTGTATCTCCAGAGAAAAGGAAGAGGATCTCTTCAAAAAGCAGTTGAAAGGTAAATGAGACATTTAAAGGTCCAGTTTGTAACATTTAGAAGGAATAGAAGAGGTAGAATACGATGTCCACTGTAGTTTTTCCTATAATCCTTGGATGACTGAGCTGTATTCAGTTAGTAGCAATCTGCAGTTTTGACGCTACATGCCCCTAAATCCTACACACTGGTCAGACACACTATACTTTGTGTTACTCTCGTTTTAAATATGATAACTAAAGACAGTGACATTGATTCTGACCTATTTATGCCAAGATGTTAGTGTTGACATTACCAATGAAGTGATGAAGATTGTTGCAACCAGAGGTGCCACAGCATCGGAGCCAGCCAGCGCAATGATAGTGACTGAGCAGAACAGAAGTCCTGGAAGACTTGGATGTACCCAGAGCCTGTGCAATGCTAATGGGCCTGACATAAGCTACCCAAAAGAACTGAAAAACCAGTGTATTCCTTGAGCTGGATGGTCTGAAAGCTAGTTCGAAGCAAATGTAATGTAATATCTGGTGTGAAATAACCGAAACTGTTGTAAAGGGGTTTTGTTCCTACTTAACCTGGCACAGAGTTTTGGTTAAAAGTTTTTTGGGATGAGGATTTTTAGGGGCCGAGTCAGCGACCGCTGGAGGTCCCTATTGTAATTGCTCGAGTTCCCTATTATTATTTTTAGCGCCTGAGACTGCGTTTTTGCCCTCCTGAACATATACGAAAAGTCAATTTTATTTGGCAAAGTTATAGTAATAAAGTAAATTATTAAAGTAATAACTTCTGCATAGTTTGTCGCAAATTCAAAAACCTTATATCCACGCGTTTGGTATATGGAGCTGAATCTCCCCACATAAGCCCCGCCCACTTTCAAATTATTTGCTAGAGCGCGAAATGTCCAAAAACTACTTTTTGGTGTTCTTCCTACACGCTTTGTCCGATTCGAACAAATTTTTTCACGTAGCACCTGGGGACCGTCCTAATAAAAAAGTAGTCTAAAGAATTTTGATATTTGAAAAAATATATATATTTTTATAAATTTAATTTAATTTACATTGGTATGTCCGATTGACACCAAACTTGGGTCCCTAGTTCCCCATGTCTTCCTTAGGCATCGTGCACAATTCCAGGCCATCACCACAAGGTGGCGCTCTTTAAAATAAAGAAGTTTATATCTCTGCAACGGTATGTGTGATAAATTAAACTTGGTATGAAGGTTGCCCATGTCTCCCATTAGGCTCACTAATAAATGTGTCAACAATCCGCCACTAGGTGGCGCTCTGGTGGCATTGTAAATCACTGTTGGGAGACCTGGTAGTTATGAGTATGAAATTCACAGGGCATGTGTAGAGTGGTGCCTGAAGTTCACATACCAAAAATCGTGTTTGTCAAGTTTGTAGCGCCCCCTACAGGATAAGTAAAAAGCAGCCCCGGCGCCACGTTTCACCGATATGTACGAAACTCGGTAGGCACGTGTAACATGTCGAGACGTACAAAAAAGCCTCTTGGACCCATACCCCAAACCCCACAGGAAGTCGGCCATTTTGATTTAGATTTTCACTTTCGGCGAACTTTTTGCATTGTATTTGAACAAACTCCTCCAAGGGAATTCATTGGATCTGCTTAAAAATGTGTCAGTACAGTCAAAAAATGGTGCTGTTCAAAAGTTGTGCTATTTACAACATTCCGTCAAATGGCGTGTCGGTGGCGTTGCATCAAAGTCAGCCATTTTGATTTTCATGTTCATTTTCTGTGATTTTTCGTGTTGTATTTGAACGAACTCCTCCTAGGTAATTCATCTGATCTTCTTCCAAATTGGTCATTACAATCAAAGTATGTTGCTGATTAAAAGTTGTGCTATTTGTGCACGTACATTAAAGGGCGTGTCTGTGGCGTGCTGTCAAATTTGGCCAGGTTGAATCGTATGTCAAGCATTTATGTCATTTCCGCCATTTCGCAGTGATTTTCAAAGTTTTTTTGTGTTGTAGTTCAACAAACTCCTACTAGGGGATTTATCGGATTAACGTCAAAATTGGTCAGTAAAGTTAAAAAAACATTGCTGATCAAAAGTTGTGCTATTTGTGACTGTACGTTTAACCGCATGCCCGTGACGACGTATCGAATTCCACCGATTGGCCATCAAACAGTGCTCATATCTTCAGTGTACAGTCCCACCCTGAGCACGTCCTCATAACTTCAGCGTACGTGGTCCAATCTCAATGAAACTTCACGTGTTTGATAACAGTCCCGCCCTGAACATATCTAAATGACAATATTCAGACATAGTGATCGCGCCACCTACTGGGAACAGGAAGTAAGCGATGCGTGGCTATTTTCAGCTGATTTACATGAAATTTTCATGTTGTGGTCCGCACGTGTTATGACGGCACGTGACGCGGCCGCAGCACGCCCCGAGTTGCGTGGAGTGCGAGGTCCCGCCCAACGCTGCTTGCAGCTTTAATTTTTATTTTTTTTTGTCCAAGTATTGTTGGTCATTTTGTGGACATAATTTGTTAAAAAACATTTGGACATGAGTTGGGACTGATTTTAGAAGAAGGTTTTATAAAAACTAGAATTGCCAATTGTAATTTATTCTGACTTAAGTAGTAGAGGACAAAACAAATCGTGTTGGTTACTTAACTAATTCAGTTACTGTAAAAGTCTCATGAGATGAACCCAATTATGGCTGAGCTGGAATTACTTACTAATAATTACTTAATTTTTGTTGGGTCAGTGTATTCTTGAATTCAGTCTGCAGTAATATGCCAATATACTAGGAAAAATAACACATAAATACTTCCTGCAAAAAAGTTTTTGGGCAAAATCAATTTAGACCATTCACCTGCAGTTGCAGAAACTAGTCTCGTCAAACATATATTTTCCCAAACTACAAACATCATGAATGCCTTCAAAAGTTACATTTTACACTTAACTCAAATTGTCTCAGTTTGCAGCAATTATTGCAAACCTTATGGGTTTTTTTGCAGTATTTGCAAATATTTATATGACATACCTCAGTCTCAAGACCAAATATGACTGTCATCCCAAGACCTTCATCTATCTGAGAAACATGAGCATATTTTAGAAATAACTCTGAATGCCCAGATACATAACAAACTGAACATAAAATAACAGTCTAAATTGGTAAAGTCTGTGAAAAGAGTAGAAATGTATTGTATACCCCCCCCGGCTGTAAATGTCCCTGACTGTCAAAGTCTTGTGATGCTTAAATTGTTTCAGGTTTCCTCTTGCACATACCCTGAGTCTGGGAATGTCCTCAGGTATGTGTGAATGCATGTACTGTATGCATTAATGAGCGTGGTTATAAACTAGGCTACAGTACAACGCTGCAGAGGCCTTCAACTGGCACGTTTATAATTTTATGCTTAAACAGTTAGTGTGGTGCTTATAATAGTCACATTTCTTAAGAATAGTTAAATAAAGGACAAATCAGACTTTTCAAGCACCACTAGCTCAAACTAAATCAAAACCCCCACACAAATCTTTCTGATGCCCAATCTCAGTAACCTAGTTTGATAATACTCCCACTCTCCACGTGAGGTCTCTGATTCCCTTTCTACAAGTTATGAAAACCAGTCGTTACAAACACGAAACCAGCTCGTTCCATAACGTGTTGGTTGAATAACGAATGTTGCACAAGCTACCCGCCACTCCCCACAATTTGCATATTTTCTGTGATATAACAGAAACTTCACCACCACGTCTGCAGGTCCCACCGCTGCGGCTGCCACCTGACAAATCGTCCCGCCCATAAGCGCTCACCATGCCGACCGAAAAAGGTAAGATGGCTGTTTGTTATTTGCGGTGTGGCGGGGTCAGACTAAATATAATCAGCGCGTACCATAACTTTAGGAACCGAACTCCGCTGGAGCCCGGTGCGTCTGTGCGCCTCCTTCATCAGACCAAATGTATGTGACCGCAGGCAGGGGCAGCCTGCACGCAGCCTGTTGTTTAGTTCGTATTCTTTAGAAAACGTTTTCATGTCCAAACACGTATGTAGCCTACATAATAATCATTGATGAAATAACTGGATACTTTACAGTTGCAGCCCTACTGCCTGGAGACGACGCTGAAGTTGGCTTCCGATTCGCCAGCCTCCGATTGGGCACTTAAGGGGAAAGTTAAGGGGAAATTAACTTATTGTGCAGTGCGACTGTTTGTCCACTGATTGTCTGTTTTTTGTGACACTTCTTGATGTGAAAACGTTTTAGACATTTTAGGTAAGACATCAGCTTTGCCTGACACCTACGATTGTATCTGTGAAACTTTTATTTTATTTGTGAAAACGCTAAAGGGGAGATATCACCGTTTTTGTTTTACACCAAGACCTCATTAGACCAGGTCCAGATCAAAAACCAATGTACCTAGACCTCTCAAATCTGGACTGGATTGATGTACAGACCCTGAAGATTCATAAAAACACAGTCTCTGATTTGTGAAACCTTTATTCTATTTGTGAAAATGCAATAAAGACACATTTCACACTTTTTTTCAGCACATAGACCACTTTGGACAAGGTCCAGATCCAAAACCACTGTACCTAGACCTCTCAAATCTTTTTACATGGAGAAGTTGTTGAAAAGGCACAGAGTCAGTAAAAAAGTCAGCAATTTTCGTTCTTTTAAGTTTTTATGGCCTCACCTCTGTTTTTGTAACGTCTAGGTGCCTCTTTGTTTTCTGCTTCTCTGCTTTCCTTTGCAGGTTCCAGGTCGTGGGTTGTCATCTTAATATTTTTAAACTATGGACAATCGGGTAGGGTCAGTATCATGTCTGTAGGTAGGTAGTTGGTCAGGTGATGAGGAAAGGGAGGAACACAAAGAGGACAACTGGTGGCCGGGAGAACAAGAACAGGGTCTGAAATGATGGCAGATGTTAGTAAAGCCAACAAACTATTTTAATCAATCAGGTATTCATAATTGTGATAATTACTGTAATTGTATTGTTCAAATGATAAATAATAGCACTAATAGCAAAAGTGATTCTAACACAGGCAACAATAAAGTTTATGGAAGAGGTCTGCAAACTGACGGTGATGGAAGCTGTGGCAAAAGTGGACCATGGCCAGATGGAGGAAAGCTAAGTGAAAACCAGGACTTTTATAGGATGTTTCCCAATTAAGCAATCGATGAAGATGTGTTTAATGTTTCTCAAGAGATAAACATAACCTTTTTACTTTTTTACTGTTTTGTAGTGAGAAAGAAGACATTTTCATGTCCATTCAAAATGAGATGGAGAGACGGGGTTTGACATGAAAGAAAAGATGTTCAAAAAGTGTTTGTCCCTTTATTTTCAATAAAGGTTTCACAAATCAGAGACTGTGTTTTTATGAATCTTCAGGGTCTGTACATCAATCCAGTCCAGATTTGAGAGGTCTAGGTGCAGTGGTTTTTGATCTGGACCTGGTCTAATGAGGTCTTGGTGTAAAACAAAAATGGTGAAATCTCCCCTTTGACATTTTCACAAATAAAAGTTTCACAGATACAATCGTAGGTGTCAGGCAAAGCTGATGTCTTACCTAAACTGTCTAAAACGTTTTCACATCAAGAAGTGTCACAAAAAACAGACAATCAGTGGACAAACAGTCGCACTGCACAATAAGTTAATTTCCCCTTAACTTTCCCCTTAAGTGCCCAATCGGAGGCTGGCGAATCGAAAGCCAACTTCAGCGTCGTTGGAGCAGCAAAGAGTTGTGCAGACAGTACTGAACTAACATTACACTGTTCACTCAGTTCCTGACACCCCAGTGGAAGTCCTTGTGGATGTCCTTACAAAAGCCAAGGAGATAGCTGCTGCAAGTAGTAATGTTCCAGAAGAGTTGATGAGTCACTTGCAGAAGGCTGTGGACATAGCCAGTGGCCTGGATGACTACCTGGAGAAAATGACCACACAGGAAAGTGAACCTCTGGCAGAGCTTTATGAGTACGTCTGAGCTTCCTACACATGATGATCTGTAGCTTAAAATACTTATTGTGTGATGTCAGTTTGTTAAGATTTCAATTAATTCTTAATTGTAGAAAAACAATTTCCCATGACTGGGACCAAGTGCACAAGAAGGGTGAAACCATGTTCCGGCTGCCCAAGGAGTGCATCACTGGACATGTAGAAGGTTTGACATTTTCATGCGTACATAGCCACTATGTTCACTGGTTAACCATGTTGTGATAAGTTGCTCTCGGATGTGTCTTTGGCAGGCCAGACCCTAAAGATGCTGATCCACATGAGTCAAGCTAAGAGGGTGCTAGAGATCGGGATGTTCACCGGCTATGGTGCGCTGTCTATGGCTGAAGGGCTTCCTGTGGATGGATGCTTAATTGCCTGCGAGTTAGAGCCGTACCTCAAAGACTTTGCCCAGCCAATTTTTGCAAAGTCTCCACATGGCAAGAAGATTATTGTCAAGACTGGATCCGCCATGGAGACCCTTAAGGTGAGAGAAACCTTTCAATATCGAAAGATCGTCAGAGAAGAATGGACCATCATTTAAAAATGCTTGAGAAGAAGTGTTTTGCAAACTAATTATACTTTCGCATAGCACTTTCCCTTTCAACATTTACAATTGTAGCTACTGTGTGTTCTGCCAGGTGCTTTGCACAATCAGAGCAGGCAAAGGTTAACACTGACTCTTCTTTTTTTGTCCAGTTTCCTAATAACTCTGTCCCTTCCAGGAATTGGCTGCTGCAGGTGAACAGTTCGACATGGTCTTCATTGATGCTGACAAGACCAATTACATCAACTACTACAACTTCATTCTGGACAACAATCTGCTGAGATTGCGAGGGGTCATATGTGTAGATAACTCACTGTTCAAAGCCAAGGTTTATCTTAAAGACACCACTGATAACAACGGACTGGCACTTAGACAATTCAATCAGTTTGTCTCCAACGATCCACGCGTGGAGCAGGTACGTTTCAGAACTTTATATGCTACTACTGTATGTGTTTAACAGGTATTCCTTTTTGATTTTAACAGTGTCCTCTTTGTTTTAAAGATTATTATCCCTCTTAGAGATGGCATCAGTGTTATCCGCAGGGTATCTCTGGCCTCCGAGTGCTCACTGACACAGGTACTGTTTAGATAACCCCAATGTTCAGGCCTCAATGAGCCAGTACTGATATAGACTCAGACAGCTGTCATCATAGTAAGAGCATCATTTTCACTGATCATGTCTGCCAATCTTGTTTATTTGTGTTAGAGTAAAATAACAGATGATGAAGTTTTCCGTGGGGTCAGTGGGCGCCCCATCCTGGATCGGATGCGTCTTGATGGAAAGGTGGCCTATGTGACAGGTGCTGGGCAGGGCATAGGGCGAGCATTTGCTCATGCCCTGGGTGAGGCTGGTGCAAAGGTGGCCGTGGTAGACCTGGACCAGGATAAAGCGGAGGTGGTGGCTAAGGAACTCTTTCTCAAAGGTGAGGGCTGTTAACACAACAAATGAAGACTTGAGAATGATGTGCATATCCAGTGGCGGACTGTATGAGGGGCAGGGGTGAAAAAAATTAACAGGTCACCAGCAGCAAGGTCCAAAGATTATAATTGTTTTATTATGTGATTCAGATTTAAAGAAGTACACCTCATATAAGACATAGGGAACGTTTAACTATTTAACCATTTAAAGGCAGGCCAACTAATTCTCTAGCATGTTGGACAGCCTATGTGGCACCATACAGGCCACTGCATCATGTTTTCTTGCACTCTGGGCTACTGTAGAGGGTACTTTATCATGTATTATCTATCATAGGAGCATCCAAGAGGGTACTTCTGTGGTGTTTTTTTCAAACATGGTGGAACCATTTTCCCCCTTTACTCTACCAGTGTGCATACCCCCAGCCTCTTCCCACCATTTCTTTAACTCATGTGAACTCAGTAACTCAGTTCAAATAGGCAAAATGGCAGCTTTACAACAAATAGAAACTTAGTTTTTGACAATAGTTGCCACATTTTGTACAGGATGGTCAGTTGAACATATATTCTCTTGGACTCAGTCCCCAAATCCCATTACGCTACACATTTTCAGTTTACTTTCATACAGTTGTGCTAGTTTGTACTGCACATTTACTTCTTGATTTGAGAAACTAGTGGCAAGAAAAGTTTCAACAAAAAACTTTAAATGAGTTTAAATCAAATGTTAAGTTGTCTCATTTTGTCTCTGAAGGCTTGAGGTATAATATGTACTTTCTGTATTTCCTGTTTCTCTAGCTACAGTAAATGTGCAAAAATACATATACAGTATAATATGACCACTTGTAGCATCTTTGAATGTGCAACATACACACCCAAATGTAAACTAATGATTAAATGATTAAACTTCTCTCTGGAGCTCCTCCATGTCTGCTTTTAATCTCTCCATTTGGCATTGAGAGTTGGGCTGTGAGGAGAAGGGGAGGAAGGGAGACTTATATACATTTGTGCTGTACAGCTATGTGTGGGAGTGTAAATCACATTAAATAGGTTTTATCGGACAGAAAGTCGTCATATCTGATTGCTCATAAGAAAAATATTCAGCTGCAGTTTTCTTGTTTTTTCCAAGAAACTTAAGGTGAACCTGCACATTTGAAACAGGATTAGCTTTTCTCCTCTGCAACTTTTACTTCAGTTAAACTGTTAGAGACTATAGAGATGCATCCACACCTGCATAAAGTAAACAGAGCCGTACTAGTTTTATTATGACTGCACATTCACTTCTTGATTTAAGAAGCAAACAATACAAAATCAAATGTTTATGTCAAAGGTTAACATTGACATAGTATACTATACTGTCATTCTTCTGTAATAGAAGTGTACGCCTTTTTTAAACATTTGTCACAAACCTTAAATTGGACAAAATATTTATCACAAAATAAGAAAGCAACATCAATTTCACGTTGAAGTAACACAACAGCTGCAGATCTAATTGAAGCAATAACAAAATCAAAGAGTGTATGTTTAATCATTAAATTATTAGCGTAGATTTGTATATATTGCACGTTCAAAGATGCCACAAGTGGTCATAATATATATGTATTGTTGAATATTTACTGTAGCTACAGAGACAGATGTAGACACATATTCATTAGATGGCAAGTGCAATGTTGTTTTATTATAATTTTTTTTTTTATATTGAACTTAAGCCTGTCACTTAATGTGTTAAATTTGAAAGCTTTTGACACAAAACAGGGGTAGGCAGGCTTTTTTTTTTTTTACTGTGTGAGTCAATGACATACTCATTAATGTCCTTGTCGTTGATTAATGGCCTCCCCAGTGCTCAATAATCTTCAACCACTAAGTGAAGAGATTCAAACTGGGTATGTGCGCATAAAACTTTTGCCAAATGTCAGATATTGACAGTGTGGTCAGTTTTGGGTTTTTGGCCAGCAGATGGCAGCATACTAAAGCATAAGATAGACTGTCAGCTTATACACGTTCCTCTGAATCCCTGTATTTGTGATTTTCCCTCTGTTCTTACAGAATGAAGCCTCCTATACAAAAGGAAGCAACATTTGGTTTGTGTTTTTCATAACTTGTGTTCTTCATGTTTTAATTTTTGGCTTCCATGTTCTTCGATACAGGTATCAATGCCATACCGATCACAGCTGACATAAGCAAATCAGAGGATGTCCAGAGGATGATTGACATCATTGTCTCCAAATGGGGGGCGATCCACATTGCCTGTAACAATGCCGGCATCAATATGAACTCAGCCAGTGAAGACACCAGTCTAGAAGAGTGGGACCAAACCTTTAACGTCAACCTAAGGGGGACTTTCGTCTGCTGTCAGGTGTGTGTGTGTGTGTGTGTGTGTGTGTGTGTGTGTGTGTGTGTGTGTGTGTGTGTGTGTGTGTGTGTGTGTGTGTGTGTGTGTGTGTGTGTGTGTGTGTGTCCACCACAGTAATTGGTTATTCACTCCACCATATAGCACTGTGGCGTATTAATGTATTGTGCAATTTTCAGACAAACACAAATACATTTATAAACATAAATATTATATTAAATTTGAATGAAGGTTTGATTTATGTTTATGGTTTAGCTGAAAAATAAAAGAGAAAGAATTTCAGTCAAGTCACATACTGCTATGACATTAAATGGAAAGAAATTCTGCTCCAAACCATATAAACGCTCCAATGTTGCTTTGACAAACATTACAGTAAAAAATACAATGTATGATTTTAAAAAAGCTTCTGATTCTCTAAACAATGAAATTACCTTAATATGGAGGTATCATGTGTTAATCTTTGAGAAAGTGAGTTTTTTTTCCTTTAACAAACAAGCATCATATGAAGCAGAGACAGAATCAGGGAGACTTTAAATGAATGTGTGATAAATCAACTTTGTAATGGGAAAAGGAGCAATTAAATTATGAGTTAAGAAAAACAGCCCCGATAATCCAGTAGGTTTTTAAATGATAGTAGGAGGATTTTCTCAAACCATAAAGGAACACTTAATCCTTTTTTTTTTTTTTTTTTATTCAAAAGATTCAAAATCATCAAATTTAGAGATACATGTTGGAATGAAATACAGTGACAATTAAGCAGACAGCAGGTGCAAATGATGCACAGAGCTACAATGGTGAAACCTGAGAGCAATCTTTTGTAATGTGTGCAATATTGAAATAAAAAAAATTAATTTGTTTACCAATTCCAAATATTTCCATAATTCTGTCATCAATTTGCTAGAGAAACTATGCTCACAGAACCAAATTGATTCGCCATGTATTGCTTCAGTAATTTATTTCTGTCAAAACTAGTTAGAGTGTGACCTAATTACTGATGGTCCAACCAGCTTTAGCTACTCTGTAGTTACTAAAATTAGTTCTAAATTATCCAGCTGGTGTCTGACATCTATATCTATATATATATATATATATATATATGCCCTACCACCCCTTATGTGCAGCTTTAAAATCCACTCCACACACAACTGTTTAACCACTATTTCTGTTTCCAAGGATAAACTACATGTTTTTGTGTTGATCCGTGCTCAGGTTTTTGGTAGCATATCAGTGCCATAATAAGGTGTTTAATGTGTCTCTTTCCCCTGAATCCTTGCCTTAGGCGGCAGGTCGAGTGATGTTGAAGCAAGGATACGGCAAGATTATCAACACAGCCTCCATGGCCAGTCTAATAGGTGAGTGATGATTCTATTCCCCCCACCTTCTCTCTGGAGCCCCTCCATGTCTGCTTTTAATCTCTCCATTTGGCGTGGAGAGTTGGGTCGAGAGGGGGAGGGGGAGAAAGGGAGAGTTAAATACATTTGTGCTGTACAGCTATGTGCAGGAGTGCACATCACATTAAATAGTTTTTATCGTCGGACAGAAAGTCGTCATATCGGACTTTAGATCATAAGAAAAAAATTCTGCTGCGGGTTTCCTGTTTATGATAAACTTAGGATGAACCTGCACATTTAAAACAGGATTAGCCTTTCTCCTCTGCAACTTTTACCCCAGTTAAACTGTTCTATAGAGATGCATCCACCCCTGCATACAGTAAGCAGAGCAGGAAAGTGTTGTGATTGCGTCTCGCTGAGGCGGTTTTGCATCATAATAAACATCCCCTCTCTGCGGAGCTGTCTGGAGGATGTGGAAGGCAACCTGAGGTCCAACTTGGGAAGGGAGGGTTCCTGTGCAACGGCAAAACCCCAGCCCGTGCCAGCAGCCTTGTTTGAACAGCGGAAGACACTTTCAGAGTTTAGCGAGAGCCTAGTAAAAGCCTTGTAATTCAGAGCACCGGTGTAATGTTCCTCCTCCAACAGGTTCCTCCAGAGGAACAGCAACACTTCATCAGCAGTATAGTCAAATCGCCAGTAAACCGCTGTGCCATATGGGCCCCAGTCCCGACTGCAGGGGCAATCTGTAAAACAGGAGCATGCTGGTAAATAGAGGCCGACATAAAAAAAATGATCAATTACACACATTACGTACAGTCCTTCAGGAATTTACTTTATTGGTCTGGACATCTGTTATAATATTGTCATAATGTGTAATCAGATGGGACCTGTTCTAGCCAAGTGGAAGCCCAAAAAGCAGCCGTAAATGCCCAATTAAAATGCACAATGACAGCTTTTTGTCCATCTGCTGAATAGAATGCGTGTGCGCCCACTAACACCCTCACCACACACACACGCACACGCACACCCAACAATCAACCACCATTTTTTTCTGAATAATGGTCCAGAAGCTCAAAGACTCCCAGACAGGATATATCCAACTTGATATGGTCACACTCAGTTTTTTTGGATGCATAATGACCTTACTGAGGGATTTGCGACTCTCGCACTCGCACCTGCAGATCTCAGCTGCATTGTAATGCACCTTACAGCAGCCACGCCATTCTGGTGAAAGAGTGCATCATTTGAACTCAGAAGAATTCAAAATGTAAAGGCGTGCCTGATAAAGAGCATGTTTTCTCCCACTTGAAATGGGCAATAAGTAGCAGGGAGAATGTTAAAGAGGGCTTTGGAGGATGCTCTCCTTCTACCTCCTTTTCTCTTCTCTGGGGATTACTGCTCTTTAAGACGGCGAAAACATCAATGCAGGTTTATTTAAAGGATGAAGGCATTTTCTGAATGGTATTTTGGGGCCGTATCATCAGGTCTTGAGCGAGGATTAGTGCTGTTAGGCATTTTGAGCTGTGTTTCCTGTCCTGATAAGTCGGATTTCACCTTCAATCTGCGTGTAAGCCCTGGGCTCCGCTCCTCCTTGCCTGCTCCTCTGAGGTCCTAGCCTACCCTTATCCAGCCCTGCCCAACCCAATCTTACTTTCCACTGCTATCTCGCCATACTCCACACACAATCCCACAAACTCAGCTACGGTGTCGTAGTCCCACCCTTTACATCTTATTTTGTTTGCAGTTTCCAACTTTTACCTCTATCCTGCACATTTTTCTCCTTTTTTATCCGAGCAAACGTATGCGGGATGCTCCGGCCTTTCCTCCCCAGGACCGGTCCCTGCCTCTCTGCAGCTGGCTGGTATTTATCATCCCGGTCTCACACTGAAGCCATTTGGCAGTCAGATCGGCGGGTGATGAGGTTAACTACTAAAGTTGTATGTAACTTGGAGCCTTCCTTGTGATGATTAATCAACCAGCAGAAAATGAGCCCCTGTCCCGGCATCCCATGCAGTGTGCAGCATCTGTGATGGTCAAGGCAAACAAATGGCTCCCTGTCTTTGTTGCTGAGGACAGAGCATAACTGGACATTATAAGCAATTAATTTTACATGGCTTCATCCGCAGAGTCCCCCAGCAGCTAATGGAAGAGCTGTTATGTAGTATCCACAAGAAACCGCATGAGCTGCAATATAGAATGTATATGTTGTCAGCTTTTGTGAGAAAGGAACCATTGCTAGCCTCTTTTTTTCTTCCTTTGTTAAAGAAATTACCCATAAAAATGAAATATTTTCTTAATAATTACCTGAGAAGTGCATACCATTATTAATGGTGCAGTAAATGTTCTCTTTATGAAACGATGTGTGGTGTCCATTTAGGGTAACTGATTTTCTCTCTGTCCTCTACCCTGCAGTCCCCCATCCTCAGAAGCAACTCTCCTACAACACGTCCAAGGCCGGAGTGGTCAAACTGACTCAGACTCTGGGCACTGAATGGATTGACAGAGGAGTGCATGTAAACTGCATCTCACCGTAAGTGCTGTCTGTTCTCGGCCTTTTTCGCCTACCGTTTTTGTGCCAGAATGTTCTTGTCCACCTTTGAGTGTCGTAAAGGATTGAGCTGCAAAAGGAAGTGGTGATTAGTGTGTTTGCTTTCATATGAAGAGCCCCATTTGAGAATGATGCACTAATTTAAGTCCTCAAACAATACATCAGTGCTTAATTAGATGACGTCTTGAGGGATGAATCAACCAAACACTTGCTCTAATTGTTCTATTCAATTAGGGAATCAAATTTGCAACCTCACTCCAAGTGTGGGCGCAACAATAGCTCCTTGTTTGTATCTATTTGTCTGTGAAGCTGAGCAGGGGGGAAGAAAAGAGGAGAACACAGGAAGGGCTGTGTGTGTGCGCGGGGGGTGTGTGTATGTGTGTGTTAAGTGGAGCATCCCTTAGCCCCAGCCATCCCTGAACAAATCCGTCCGGTGGCACCGGGCAAGCCAGGCCCAGTCACAGCCCCAGAACAAAGCCCTCACACACGCGCCTCGCTCAGCTTTATTTATCGGCAGCTTGTTTGCTAATTTTAATTTGCAAAGAAGCAATTCTCTCTCCCCCCTCGCTAACTGGGTGTCTCAATGGGCCGCTGATTTCTTTGAAGTGACAGTCGGTAAATATGCATAAAAAAGGGACACAATTAGCGCTCACGAGGTTGACTGGAGCCTGATTCCATTGGCAACTTTAGCCGCAGCGGTGATAAGCTGCATTATCTAGAAAATTGGCTGAGGGAAAACAGTACCTCTGATTGCCAGCAAAGGTTCCAGATAACAGGGCAGCTGAAGAGAAATATAATTGAGGTGGAATATGTTAACCAAGGTGTCACACGCTCCTTGGAAGTGCTAATTTATCCAACGTTGGAATTCCATATCAAGGCACCAGGATACATCGAACAATGATTCAGGCCTCACGGCTTTTAGTCACTGTCACGTCAATTGTGTAGAAAGTCAGAAGTCGTCTCATATTAGGCCCAGGCGGGTGTGTTGACATATTTATTCAAATGTAAGTTCTGTGATATTTTACTGTAGAAGGTGTTGTGACTGAGTAATGGTGTTTCAGAGCTATCACACGCCAGTGCAGTCAAAAAAACAAAAGCAGCACACCTTTTCTTAAAAATACCAGCTAAATACTTCCTCATTTCAATCAGGAATGTGAGGGAGTTGCTTATAATAGGTTCTTATCCAAAAGCTTTGAGCAAATTATGCCAGATGTCCCTTCAAGCCTGTGGGCTCTTCCTGAGATGTGCCAGTCATTTAAGTGCCACCGGTCTCACAGTAAATATCATCAGAGATGCCATGCCATGCCATGCCCTTTCTTCAAAGGATAATTGGGTTTATTTTTGTCACCAAAGTGGTGGCTCTGAAACAACACTGTCACTCCTGGCTCTGAACTGTGATGCCTTCTGATTTCATTGTGCTTTTTTTTCTTTACCCCTCTCTTTCTCTCTCACTTTCTCTGTCTCTCTTTTCAGGGGGATTGTTGACACCCCTCTCATCCACTCGGAGAGTCTGAGGCCTCTGGTGCAGCGCTGGCTGTCAGATATCCCTGCTGGTAGACTGGCTAAAGTGACAGACCTGCAAGCTGCAGTGGTCTACTTGGCATCTGACGCCTCCGACTACATGACAGGGCATAACTTAGTCATAGAGGGTGGGCAAAGTCTGTGGTAGAGGGGGTAGATGAAGAGATGAAAACTTTTTTTTTTCCTCTTTTCCTCCTCTACTCTCCTGGGATTAGTCTGCAAAATTGGTGGCATTCACATTATCTCCTTTTGACACATTCACAGCAGTGTTAGTTTAAATCTTAGTGGATGTTTAACTTTTGGTCAGTTAACATCTGTTATGTGGTGTGATGAGATGACTGTGTCCTGTATAGGTTCAGTTGGCTGTTGTGTGTTATGAGTTTGGCACACTAAAATCTTTAGTAGATGAAAAATACCGTATCACAATAAATACTAAAAAGAGGTATATAGCAGATGCTAGTCTTCTTGTCATACAATGGACATTCGCTAACATGTCTGAAAAAATATCTGTGATGTCCAAGAATGTAAAAGAAAACTGTTGCTACTGTATGCCTTCTTACATCATCATCGTCATCATTTTGTCACAGTTTCAGCTATATGTTGTCTTGATGTTCATACGTACATTGAATGCTGTTTAAACAATCATTTTGATAAATGACTGTAGAAGAAACTGATCTTTTTTTTATTGTATGTGTTGCAAAAAGGCAGAGCATACTTGAAAAGTTGTGTTTATTTTATAGTACTGTTTCATACAAATGCAGTTCAAGGTGCTTTACAGGATAATAAAAGGAATGATGATGATGAACAAAGGTGTGGCTTCTTTCCATGGGAAAATGAAAAGTGCATGACTGACTATATGTGGGAATTTCTAAGCTGCATGTTTTACACTGTACTAAAAGAAAAAGGTTTTATTTATTATTATTTATTAGGTTTGCATTTTCTTACAAAATACACAGGAAGCGCCTAATGCAGAGAATAATTGCTTCAGTGATGACCGCCAGTTTACATTCACACCAGAATAGGAAGCCAGTGAGTTGCATTGTGCACCTTGACTTACCACTTCCTCTGGTCCAAGACTCTTGTGTACCATATTCAGGCTTACAGTGTCCCAGTCCACCTCTTTCCAGCTCTTTCTTGCCAAATGGTCCCCAGAAGTGGTGCTTGTGAACGCCATCTTAATTGCTCCATTAACTGTTTGTGTGCTGAAAAACAATACTTAAAGGAGAGGTTAGCTGAGGACGTGACCCCGGCCACTGCAATTATATGAAAAGTAGCGACCAATTAGCACTCTCTGCAATGTGACACTGTTGGTGTTTATGTGAGCAACTTCAACTTCTCACTCTTAGTGACCGTTCTCTGATTTACATAATTGGGGGATTGGTCATTAATGGGAATGGCGTGTGAGAGGATCCCATTAAGATATGGAGTGAGATCTGATCATCTTCTCTGCACTCTGCTATTTATCTCCAGCTGCATTGGCACATTAGAAATTATTGGGATTCTTATCCTCATATTTTATGGCAAAATGTCGAAGTTTGCCACAATGTGTGCATGTAAGATCTTGCAGAATTTTTCCACTTCCATCTCTTGCCACTGAGGGGCAGTATAAAGACAGCAAGCTGCAGCACTGACACAAGGGCACAAAGTTACAACAAGAGGTTATCACATTATTTGCTATCATCTAAAGGTAATAACAGTGAACTCTGTCTTACGTGTATGTTATAAAATAAGAACACCTCTCCAATTCTAGTATGCAAACAGCTCAACTTGAGAGACAATCAAAGAAATGCTGAATGAATACTCACATTTTCAGTTAAATGTAGTTTGATAGTGGACAGTTGCATTTCAAATGCATTAAAAATGTAATTATGTCCATTTTTCAAGAGAGATTGGAGTAGACATTAGTCCAGAGACAATGAAGTGCAAATAGGAACATGTAACAAAGTGATTTGCATCTACAGACCAAATCTTTACTGAATAGGATTCCAGTTAACAACCTCAGTGCTTTTCATTTATATTTTTCCAAGTTGAGTAAAGGTGAAGTTGGGACACACACTGTGGTTAGTTTTGACAGCTACTGCAAATACAAATGATTGTTCCATCCCCAGGTCTTCCAAAAGGGTTGCACAAAAACACCCATTTGAGACCAAAAGCGTCCTTCTCTTTGTAGTTATTCACTATCATCACTCAGTGGCAGCATCTAAACTGTTGTTTTGCCGTCATGTTTTGCACCATATTAAACTCTTTCAAAGCCCTCTCAGAAAGGTCTTGTTTTCCTTTACAATTGCAGCCACAAGAGCCAAATCTATAATTTGAGCAGCAAAATGTGATATCCCCTCGAATGCCACAGCCTGCTTCATGAGGTGTAAGTGATCTTGAATCCATTATTTATGACCTCCTTTTGCTACCATTACACTGAAGAGTGGGACCCTGTTGTACACAGCGCTGTTGTACTAAACAGTTCTCCAGCAGAAAAAGGCACTTGCGCCCTCACACTGAAAATCAACTTTGATTAATGCTCCGCTCTGTCACGGCATGCAACATTTTACAGCAGCAGCCGTTCAGAGGGAGACCCGGGTCGATGGCGAACAACACGATGAGGCAATGTGTGTTGCTGAGGAGGCTGTGTCCTGGTGACAACAGGACCCAAGGGTTTATGGATGACATATTAACATTTGACAATATCAATACACTTTTATTGATGGATTATAGCGTCCTGTTACCTACCCACTCAGTGAGGTGTTTGAGGATGAAATGTTGCCCCTTATAAATTGAGTTGAGCCCCCTGATGCTATCATCAGTATGACTGTTCAACAGCAAAAGGAAAATGTCAACATTTATCTTCTTATAAGGGCTGCTGGTGCTGTGTGAACTTAATGACCCAGTGACTATTTAATTTGACTAATTACCTGATGGAAACTCTGATTGTCATTGCAGCCAAAATATTGAGTAATTTTGCTTCAAAATACATGTAAACTTTGCTCAGTCAGGCATTACTTTAAAAGCTAATTCCTTTGAAGAACATGAACAAAGACAGAATGTATATTGCAGCTTTCAGAGAAATACCTTACACAAACCTGCTGTGTTAAAGGAATAGTTTGACATTATACGCTTTTATTTCTTGACAAGAGTTAGATGAGAAGATTGACCACTTCTCATGTCTCATATTAAGCTTCCACCAGCTGCCGGTTAGCTTAGCTTAGCTTAGCTTAGCATAAAACCACATCTCACCATTTTTACATTTTGCTTTTTGTATATAATGTGATAATTAGGGAGCTATAGAGGTGAGGGTAGGCATTTTGTTAGCCCCTTAGCTTCCCCTCTTTGAGGATATATGAGGAGATATATTCTAACTGTTCCTTTAAGACAGAAATCATACAAAACAGGTCATGTTGAAAATCTACGGAAGCGTATTGCATTCACTTTAAATTTTATTTTTTGGTTTGTTTTTCGGAGTAATTATTTCTGTTTTCTGAATAATTTTTTTTTCCGGTTTTCTGGACTAATTTGTTTTCTGAGTTTAGAGAGCATTTGAATTAATAGACGCATTCATTCCTTTATTGAGAGCTCGATTCAATGGAAACAAACATGACCGGCTTGTTTAGTTCATTCAAGTTTTACTTTGATCTGGGTTTAAGACACTGGGAGATAGTCCTGTCTTTAAGTCATATAGATGGTTTTATCATTAGTTTGTCGACTCTGCGCAGGCACTTGAGGACTTTGCGGTTGTTCAGAAGGAAAACCCATTCAGATAGTTAAAGATGGGGCATGTATGTGCTGGCAGGAGTCACCATAGGGCCATGGGAATCACTTGCAGGTTGGAGGTTCTCGCGGGAGTTCGAAGTATCACGATAATTCAGAAAAAAATTACTCCGAAAAACAGAAAAAAATTACTCAGAAAAACGGGGGGAAAAAAATTATTCAAAAAAACAAACCAAAAAATAAATTACAAGTGAATGCAATACGCTTCCATAAAGATCCCCTCCAGACAGGTATTAAGACATATATTCTGCTTGGAACAATAATGTGTGTCTGATACATTTTTCCACAAAAAAAGTATAATTTCCACATTTTCTCCTTCTACCTCATTAAAAATATGAATGATAAAGGTTTATTTAGTTAAATTCTTATGTTTTCCTGCTGGACACAAAGTCTCCTACTCCACTGTCCATTCTCAGTGTATGTGCACTGGTGACTTCAAGTTTCTACATCCAAATTATTTGTGATGTCACAAATAATGCTCTTAGGCCCCGCCCCTTAAAATCAGATTTTCAGTGAGCACAGAGAAACTTTCCACTTTCAGCAAATGAATGTGAAAACACCCTTCTAGTGCACAGACATCATTCTGCACAGTGAAGCTCAAACATCCAACTGTGGGGAAAAAGAAGAAAAACATATTTTTGAGTGGAGGGGGATTTTAATTATCTTTTACAAAAGCAATTGGTATCCACTGTTGACGGTTGTTAGATCGTGAGAGGCTGCATCAAGTTTTATTAGCCTTTCGTGTTCTCGTGTGATTCTGTGCTTGACTCGCTGAAGGCACAGGATCATTGTCTACCCATGTTTGTTATCTCATGTGTTATTCATTGAGAAGCTGTTTTGCTGTTTGCTCTCCTCATGCTACCTGCTGACTTCACATGGGGTGACTTTAACTGGCTGCTGTGTGTACTCAGATGGATTGCAGATGAAGAAACGTGTGAGGACTTTGTCAAGCTGCAGTATTTTATAAGTATATTCAGTTTGAATTCTTTTGTGGTGACTCAACAATCAGGCTTTATTAATAACTTTTTTATGACCAAAATCATGTTTTACATACTTTTGTTATTTTCCCTTTTCGTTCCTTGGCTTTAAAACACACGATTTTTCCTAATCAAATCAAAGTGTACCTGACATATTTTTCTTTCAGTATTTGCCATGACTGCAGTAACACAGATGTGTTCCTTTTGCTTTATCAGTCTCAGGACTGGATTAGCCTTGTATCTTTTTGTTTGTATAAGGTTTGATACTAAAGCATTTATCCAACATGATTATGATTGGGTTTTTTGCCTCCTATGACATCTCAAGAGGTGTCTAAAAAACAATTCAAGTGTCCACACCCTGTATCCACATCGTAAATGTATCAGGCTTTTATTCAACATTAATCCTGAACCGGGGAAACATTGCACTCCGAGTTCTCTAATTACAATGCAGCTAATGTGTTATTTCCTCCCCATGTGGGATTACTTTCATCTTTCCCATTAAGATGCACATTTTGTTTGGATACTCAAATTACAAACCCCATATTAAATCTGACTGCGCAAAAGGCATTGATCATAGCCCCGATAGCTGCACTCCAACTTTGATTTAATTTGCACTTCCATTAATATCTATGAGACGTCCGATTGTCGTCTTGGGCATATTGATGGTATTGTAAGCCCTGCCTTCATATAATGTTCCCCAGCGGCAATGAGGAAATGTTACAGAGAATTAGGCCGAGAAGCAGGCTCAGTGGAACTGGCACTGCAGTCGGAAATTCATTACCCTAATAAATAGAGGGGGGAAAAAGCGAGAATCTTAAGAGAAATTTCTCTCTCCCTCTCTCTCCCTCTCACCACAAAAACACAAAAAAAGCCTTCACTTTGGCCTGAGAGTGGATGACTGTAACTTAGGCACTTCTCATTATTGCTGCCTGCGCACCCAAGGTCCTTCTCCTTGGGACCCTGAGAAGTCTTTAAAATGTGCCTGATTGTTCAATAGAAAAGCAGTCACTTGCTGCCCTTCTATCATGAAGCTTTATGTCTACATACTGAGCTATTTGGATATATGTGGC